GTATCACAGAATCAGACATCTTCAGAAGAACACTTGTCAGATTCTAGGACTTACTAACAATCCTCCTTTCAGAGTATTTAACTCATCACAAAAGTCAGAAAACAGACCCAAGGAATCCACATACCCTATATAATTGCAAATGCCAAATAGGAATAGCTCTCTTTGCAAGTGAAGATGAAGAGGAAAAAAAAAAAAGACCAGCGTAAGAACTCAGTTGAAAACAGAGTACTCATAATGTGGGACATTCAGCAGAAAAGTATTCTTCCTACAATCATTTACTATTACAATTATTCAGAAATTTGGTATCCTAGAGCAGTCTAAGAAAAAGTGACCTAAAAAGATGTGATAAAGGTCAATGGAATTTAGAAAGAAATAAAGAATGAACAAAGAGCTAAGTGAGATGAGAAAGGATTGTAAAGGAACTAAATTTGCCAGAGTAGAGTTAAAATCTTTACCAGAGGCTATAAAGAACAAATTTCATATTGAATGAAATTTGACATTGATGAGAATGACACACTTCAGTGACCCTTCCAGAAAGAAGAAACATACCAAAAGATGAACATGAAGAGAAAAGATACGGCATTCCTAAAATGCAAAGCCAAGGTAGGAATGATAGATGTTCCTGGAGAGGAAAACAGACCCATTATAAGAAAACTTTCTTGAACTGGAAGAAACATTACAATGTACAGATTGAAAACAGCTAACTCAGTTTCAGGGAATGTTAATGAAAAGAAGCACCTGTGACTCTATCATGATGAATGTTTGAATTACAAAGAAAAAAAAAAAACAGGGCCTATAAGCATCCATAAAGAAAATAAGAGGATAGTAACAAACTAACTTTGACAGCAACAACAACAAAAAAAATCAAGCTGACTGCAGACTTTTCCGGAAGCAAACATGTGAAGGCCACAGAGAGAGAGATTAATAGAAAGGTTAAGATTAAGAGAGTACTGCTAAATAACTGGATTCGATCGAGTTTTTACTCATATGTGATAACCCAGAAAGGCGTTGTATGATATGTGTAGGTTAATAAAATGTGTTATAGCACACATTTTGAAGACTGGCTTGTAGAAAAATGCTACAGGACAATTATGTGTTATGGTAGGATTATGAATGAAGGCTGGTGACAGATATTTGTATAAAATGTATTGTTTCCTAGGCGATTGATTGAAGTGACTTTATAAGATATTGACTTAAATTCCCAAAAGGCCCTAGGAAACTAACAGTTGATGAGATTCATGGTCTCTATATTTAGAGAAACCAGGATTTAGCTAGATTAAGTGGTATGTCTCAGAATCTCAGTAGTACAATGGAAGAGGGCATTAGTTATCAGATTAGTATTACCTCTTTCTATTTTGATTTAATTTTAGGAAGTTTATATAAGAAAAATGAAAGAGAAAAGGAAGTTGCTTAATGAGTCAATCATGCTTAAATTCCTCTTCTCTTTCCTAAGGCGAGGTTAGTGCCTATGTTGAATTAGAGTTTTCTCTAGATTTCACTCATAATCTTGTCAATTCCAACAAGAAAAGCCTTTGATAATGATGGGTTCTGACTTTTAAAGTCCTTGGTATGCTCCAGGCACTGTTCTAGACGCTAGGGCATAAGACATAGGGAACTAAAGCAAACGAAATCATGTGCTCGTGTCTCCCACCGTCAAGAGTTAGGCTTTGGGGATAGGCAGACCTACCTCAACTACAGCAAAGGGTACTGGTTTGAGCCTGGTAACTAACATGCCAGCTGTGGTAGTTAATGTCTTTCCTCTTTGCTATTGAGGAGACAACCCAGGATCACCAGGCATGAGGAAAACCAAAGTTACAAAAGACAAATAGAAAAAATACTGGTGGAGAAAATAAATTAAGGGCCCAGAACAGAAAGTGTCTTTTCTAAGGGCACTTTTGAAAAGTGCCCTTAGAACTATTTTCGAAGAAATTAACCCAAGGACATAAAAGAAACAGAGACAATACAAAAGCTTTTACAGACTAAAAATAGAAGTTGAAACAGAAATAAAGGAAGGGCTGGAAGGTAAAGTTGAAGATGTCTCTCAAAACACAGAGCAGAGATATGGAAAAAATATGAAAGAAAGAAAGATGAAAACAATGGAAGCATTAATCCCAAAGTGCCAACATCTGATTAATTAGCAGTCAAAGGCTGTGGTGGCACATTTTGCTTCTGTTGTGGTGGTGGTGGTTGTTATTGTTTATGTATTAGTAAAAATAATAACTAACATTTGTTGAGGGATTTCATTGTACTGGAATCTGGGCTATGGTCCTAACCCGCAATGTCTTGCTTTATTACACTAACAGGTTTTTTTTGGGTTTTTTTTGTTTATGTTTTTTTTCTGGAACAATGGGATTAGATCAGAGAAATATTTAGAAGGTAAATGAGTATGGTGTGGTTATTGAGTGTATTTAGTTGTGAGGAAGAGAAAATAGTCAAGGGGTAACTCTCAGTGACTGGATGGCAACAACCAAGATCAAAAATGCAGAAGTAGGAGCAGGTTTTGCCCGGAAGAAGATACGTTCACTTTTCACATGTTGAGTTGAAGGTGCCCAAAGGATATCAGAATGAGTAAGATCAAGAGATGGTTGGCTTAATAAGCCTGAAGCTCAGAGAAAAGGCTGGGCCCGAGAGAGCTTTAGGGATCACCCACATATTGGTTGAAGCCAGAGTGGATACAAGCACTCAAAGAAAGTCTTGAGTGTAGACAGAGAAGAGCTGATGCCAAGGCCAAGGTAGCCTGAGGGAGAAACTTGGAAGGAGTACTCAGTGAGTGGGGATCTTGGGACCAGAGTGTCAAATGGCCAGGGGACAAGAGAGGCCTGGGGAGGAAGTGGTCAGGGATGGACACCAGTGCACTGGAATGTTCTACATAGAGGATGCTATTTGGTAGTATTTGCAAGAATGATTTTAATGTCATTCTGGGAACAAGCCAGATAACTGCTAAAGAATAAGTGAGAAATGAATTTGTCAAGTTATTTGCCTGATTTCTGTGTGACTTGAATGAATAAGTCCTCTATTAGTAGATATTAGAGGATTAAGAGATAATGTCTGCAGATTATTTAGCAAGGTTCCTGGCATATAATAAATGCTCAACGAATGCAGGAGGTGTACATATATGCGTATGTATTGATTTTTAAACCAATGTATCATAGTGATTGGGTGAACAAATTTTGGATCTAGATAGACTTGAATTTGTAGCTTAGCTCTGCCACTGTGTACTTGTGTAAATTTAGACCAGTCACATTATTACTCTGGGGGGTTTTTTCATCTATAAAATGGAGGGTGAAGAAGTATCTACCTTCTAAAATGATTTCTAGGTATTATCCATTTTTTTATTATGAATAGTATACTAACTTCTGGATACTTATTTAGTTACCAGGCTGAACTCTCATACTAGTATGTGAATTCATAGAGTCAGGGTTCATCAGGTATGTAATGGTGAATACAGTCTGGTTTAATGCTGGTTTGAGTTTGTCCTCCCTAGCATTCTCTTTTCTCCAAAAGAGAGGAAGAAAGCCAGGTCTTTTGTGTATCTTTGCCCTGGGTGTTTCTGTGGGGCAGACTCCTGCTAAACTTGGGAAAGGCAACGGTGGCTCTCTGGAATAGGAAGGGAAGAGAGGACATGGTCCAGGGCAGAGAAGGAGAGGTGGATGGAAGTGGGCACCCACCCGAGGAGCAGTGGAGACTTGCAGGGGGCTGGAAGGTGCCCTGAGAGAGTAGCAACGTGTCAGACCTTGTGGGACCTTATGGCCCCAGCACCAGCCAGCTGGGGACCTCGGAATAGAGGGGTTTTCCTTTGGCTAAGACCCAGGAAACATTAGAATGAGGGGAAGGCAAAAAATCATAATGGAGATTTGATTTGCCATTGATGTGTGTTGATTTGAGAACTAAAGAAATGGAATGAGTCTTGCACATGAATTTGTGCACTGAAAAATTGTACCTGCAGCAAACTCACACTATTTACCAAGACATAAATGTAACTTGCTTTTATTTCCCTGAGACTTTCCCATTATTTCTATTTCTTGCCTTGTTATACTGACAGAATTTGCAAAATAATTAAGATGTCACAAATTTAGAATGAGGAGCAAGTGAGGGGTGCCTGGGTGGCTCAGTCAGTTAAGTGCCTGATTCTTGATTTTGGCTAAGGTCATGATCTCAGGATCATGAAATCAAGCTCCACATCAGGTTCCGGGCTCCTTGGGGAGTCTGCTTGACATTCTCTCTCCCTCTCCCTCTCTCTCTCTCTGTCCTTCCCTCCCCCTTCTCTCTCACTCCTTTTTTTTTTTTTAAAGAATGAGGAACAATTTAGCCATGATCTGCCTAGACCAAGACATCTGAGGAGGACACAGGTGAAATAGATGATGATCCTTCCATGCATTCCAGCCCATGAGACTGGGAAACTAGTTGACCTCTCCTACCCCTCACTACTCTCCACCATCTCAGAATTTAGGTTCAAGGGACAATTGGGAGATGCCAAATAGAGCGAGGTTCATTCACTGGCATTTGGCAAACTAAAGGCTCATGATATAAATGCAATTATAGAAAAAAAAGTAAGTTAACTATCCTGACCACAAATGTATGTAGATTAAGATTCATTCTCACTCTTACTCCAATGTTTCTGGAAATTTCTACATTGTGTGATATCCTCATGAAAGTAGGTACAGCAAAAACCAGTTGAATTATATTATGCAAACCAGGGACTCATAAATTAATTTTTTTCATCATTAGTTGCTTTATTTTTTAATTAATTTTTTAATTTAAATTCAATTTGCTGACATATAGTATAATATCCAGTGCTCATCCCATCAAGTGCCTTCCTTAGTGCCCATCACCCAGTCACCCCATCCCCCTACCTACCTCCCCCTGTGTAACCCTTTGTTTGTTTCTCAGAGTTAGGAGTTCTATCATGGTTTGTCTTCTTTTCTAATTTTTCCCCACTCAGATTCCCTCCTTTCCCTTGTAATCTCTTTCACTATTTCTTATATTCCACATATAAGCGAAGCCACATGATGATTGTCTTTCTCTGTTATCCTTGTGCAGGGGCCATGCTAATCTTCTCTGTATCGTTCCAATTTTAGTATATGTGCTGCCGAAGCGAGCATGATTGTCTTTCTCTGATTGACTTATTTCACTCAGCATAATATCCTCCAGTTCCATCCACGTTGAAGAAAATGGTAGGTATTTGTTAGTTCCCTTCTAATATCTGTTAATACAGGTAATCACTACACTTAAAAGTTTTCTCATGTCATGAGAAATGAATATAGAGATACCACATATATTGTATTTTAAGTATGAAAGTTTAAGGTCAATTAATGTTTGTCAGCCTTTCTCTCCATCCCAAATCAAGGCCTTCAGAGAATTGTCCTTCCCAGTAATCCCTTCCAAAGGGCTCTATGCTTCCACACCTCCTCTTTACATTGTACCCACTCACTTTGATCCACTGTGGGTAAGCTACCAATCACTCTGTTTTCACCCTAAAGGCTTGCTACACCATCTAGATGCTGACATTGAGTCCTCTGTGGACATTCTCTTTCCACTCAAGCAGGCCTACTTTCCTGTCACTCCCGGATCCTTCAGAACCTGGGAGTGGGTAGGAGCCACTCAGGATTCTTATTGCTACCCACTGCTGCTCTAAGTAAGAAGGCAATTGAGTTTAGAGGTAACATGCATGGACTTTACTGGGATTAAAATCCTGGCTCCACCAGAGCACATCCTTGGACAAGTTATTTTGTGTTTCAGAGCCTCGGTGGCTTCATTTGTAAATAGCAATGATATGAAAACCTACTTGAGCAGGCCATTCAAAGGGTTGAAGGAGATCACACATTTATCAAGCATATTGACCCAAGCCCAGCAGAGGTGTTTGACAAATAATAACTAACAATGGCATCACCTTTATTACATTTTCACTTTCGTATAAAATCAGCTTGAAGGCATTGGGTATCCAGTTGCACATGTTCTGTGCCTAACCCCACCTCAGTTTTTTTATTCATCCTATCCTCTCCTACAGATCTTTGAATTCCTTAACACCAAGGATTTTTCATTCTTGCTCCACATAAGAAATCTATCCCCATGGCTACATCTTGTACTTTTTCACTGTTTAGAACTGTTTGTCTTCTGAAATCTTGAACTTCGATATTCCGTTCTCTAAGAAACACTTCCTGTCAACTCTCTCTGGCTCCAAACACACCATTTCACATCACCAATGCCGCTGATTACTGGATAATTATGTTTTCCACAAATGATCGGTTGCTTTCTGGCTTCACTTCTTTTTGCCACGTTCAGATCCCCGAGGTCAACTACCACCCCCTTATTGACATTTCCTTTTAGCTCCACTCTTTGCTGCCCTTTCCTGGCTTCCTGCCCCACCAGAACCTGAGTCTAGATCCCCCCACATGTGCTGCCCAATGCGGTAGCCAGTCAGGACAGGCACACGTGGGCTGCAATGACTCTATCGCGCAGCACCAATGATGGAACATTTTCATCATCACAGAAAGTGCTACTGGACAGCAATGCTTTAAACAATTTACTTTTTCTCTTCTACACCTTGTGGTGAAGGACACTGATGGGTTAGACAGAACAGCTATGTGGTTAGTGCCCCTTGAAACTTTAGTGTGTTCAACCTCAAGGATCCTTAAGAATGCCTGAAGCTGTTCTGAATTAGCTTTGAATTAGCTCTGCCTCCTACCTCCTTTGGCTACCATTACAAAATTTCAACTGGTTCCCCAAACCTGCCACTTACTGCCTCCACCACCTAAAGGTTCATCACTCTCAGCAGATGCACTGGCCTTCCCTTTTCACTACAAAATAAATTATGATTAATAAGAATTCTCTTAATTCCCTACTCTGTCAGTTATAACCACATCTCTCTAGGCCCACACTTTGTTTTTTCTCCCTAATATTTACAGATAATCTTTCCACCTGTGCTTAGGATTCCCTCATCAGCCCACAAATATTTATTGAGGAGCTACTAAGTATAAAGACAATCTTAGGTTCTGAGATTTAGCTGTTAACAAAACAGTGTCCCTAGCCTCATTCTTATATTGTCAGGTAGACAACAAAGAAATATCTGAAATGGTCATAAGCAGAATGAAAAAAAAAAAAACAGGCTGGGCATTAGGGAGTGGACTCCACTCCATTAGGGTAGAGTCAATTGCTATTTTATATTAAGCAGCCAAGAAAGGCTTTATTGTCAATGCAAACCCTAGCAAAATATCATTGACATTTTTCACAGGGCTGAACAAAAAGTCCTAAAATTTGTATGGGACCAGGAAAGACCCCAAATAGTCAGAAGGAGGTTGAAAACAAAAATCAAATCTGGTGGCATCACAACCTCAGACTTCAAGCTATAGTACAAAGCTATAATCATCAAGACAGTGTAGTACTGGCACAAAAACAGACACATAGATCAATGGAACAGCCTAGAGAACCCAGAAATGGCCCTCAACTCTATGGTCAACCAATCTTTGACAAAGCAGGAAAGACTATCCAACAGGAAAAGGATGTTAATCCTTTCAGTAAATGGTGCTGAGGAATTGGACAGCCACATGCAGAAGAATGAAACTGGACCATTTTCTAACACCATACACAAAGATAAACTCAAAATGGATGAAAGACCTAAATGTGAGACAAAAATTCATCAAAATTCTAGAGGAGAACAGGCAACAGTCTCTTCAACCTTGGCCACAGTAACTTCTTGCTAGAAATGTCTCCAAAGCAAGGGAAATAAAAGCAAAAATGAACTATTGGGACTTCATTGAGATACAAAGCTTCTGCACAGCAAAAGAAACAATCAACAAAACTAAAAGGCAACATACAGAATGGGAGAAGATATTTGCAAATGACATATCAGAAAAAAGTCTGGTATCCAAGATCTATAAAGAACTCATCAAACTCGACACCCAAAAAAGCAAACAATCCAGTCAAGAAATGGGCAGAAGATATGAACAGACATTTCTCCAAAGAAGACACAAATGGCCAACAGACACATGAGAAAATGCTCCATATCACTTACCATCAGGGAAATACAAATCAAAACCACAATGAGATACCACCTCACACAAGTCAGAATGGCTAAAATTAACAAGACAGGAAACAACAAATGTTGGTGAGGATACAGAGAAAGGGGAACCTTCTTACATTGTTGTGGGAAGGCAAAGTGGTACAGCCACTCTGGGAAACAGTATGGAGCTTCCTCAAGAAGTTAAAAAGAGAGCTACCCTACAATCCAACAATTGCACTACTAGGTATTTCCCCAAAGATACATAGTGATGTGAAGGGACACCTACACCCCGATGGTCACAGTAGCAATGCGCACAATAGCCAAACTGTGGAAGGAGCTGAGATGTCCATCCACAGATGAATGGATGAAGAAGATGTGGTGTATATATACAATGGAATATTACTCAGCCATCAGAAAAGATGAATACTTATAGTTTACTTACCGATGTGGATGGAACTTGAGGGTATTATGCTGAGAGAAATAAGGCAGTTTGAGAAAGATAATTAGCATGTGGCTTCACTCATATGTGGGATATAAGAAACAGTGCAGAAGATCATAGGGGAAAGGAGGAAAAACTGAATGGGAAGTCATCAGAGAGGGAAAAAAACACGAGAGAGACTTAACTATAGGAAATAAACTAAGGATTGTTGGAGGAGAAATAGGTGGGGGGATGGGGTAAAAAGGCAAATTTGCTGATGGGCATGAAGGAGGGCATGTGATGTGATGAGTACTGGGTGTTAAAGGCAACTGATAAATTATCTGAAACTAATGATGTACTACATGTTGGCTAATTGCATTTAAATTAAAAGAAAAATAAAGGCCTTATTGAACTGGAGACAACTGAGAAGAGAGTCAGGAAGTGGGCCAAGAAGCAGGCTGGTGGAAAAAATGAGGAAATTCCTAGCAGCAGGAGTGGTAAGTGCAAAGGCTCTGGGGCAGGTGTGGGCTCAGTATATTGGAAGGATCGCAAAGGGGCCTATATGGGTGGACTATAAGTGCAAAGATAACAGAGAAGATGTGGTCAGGGGCATAGGCGGATCACGTAGCTCCTTTCGGCCACAGTAAGGACTTTGAGTGTGTTAAGAAGCCATGGAATGGTATGAGTAGGGGAGAGATCTCATCTGACTTATATTTTTTAAAGAGTCATTTTGAGTGTTGAGTTCTGATCATTCTATAGAGGAAAGGATGGAACTAGGGATATTTGCTAGGAGGTTATTGCAATAATTCAGGCGTAGTGACAAATTTAGGTCAATTGGGATGGTGGGTTAGTTAGCCTAAGTGGGGTGGCAAGAAGTGACCTGCAAACGAGCCTATTTTTCTTAAAGATTTATTTTATTTATTTTAGAAAGGGAGAGTGTAAACAGTGTGGGGAGGGGCAGAGGAAGAGAGAAACACAAGCAGCCTCCCCGCTGAGGATGGAGCCTGATGTGGAACTAGATCTCATGACCTTGACCAAGAGTTGGATGCTCAGCGGACTGCCTCATGATGGGGCCTATTTTTAAATCAGTCAAAAGAGGATCACAGACTATGCCTGAGATATTATAGGAGAAGGGACCGGCAAGGGGCAAGCAGCCAGCCCCATGTGTGGCATCTTTCTAATACCCTTAATTCTAAAGCCACATAACAAAAAATCTAAAGGGTATTTCTCCGAGAGAAAGGGATGTGCTCCCAAGTTGGCAGAGGGGCAGTGGCTGCAGGGTTGTGTTGACAGCTCCTGCTCATGGTTTTAGCTCTTCTCCAGGGCTCCAGAAACCACCAGCACACACCCCTCCAGCTAAAGGTCTAAGACTAAGATCTAAATAGTATTCAGAGAAGTAGGAAAGAGGATAAAGGAGACTGAATCTACTATTTTGAATGGAACCACAAAAGAGTCCAAATAGCCAAAGCAATCTCAAAAAAAAGCATGAAGCCAGAGGCATCACACTTCTTGATTACCATGTTATCTTACAAATTACAAAGCTATAGCAATCAGAAAGGTACAGAAAAACAGACACATCCACCAGTTGAACAGAATGGAAAGCTCAGAAATAAACCTATGCACATGTGGTCGATTAATTTGCAACAAAGGATCCAAGGATATACATTGAGGAAAGAACAGTCTCT